TGTAAGAGCATAAAAGTGGAGGCCCTGTCTGGCAAAACGTGTGCAGAAATAAAAAGAAATTGTTCCGTGCGCTGCTTCTTTCATATAACACGCATCCTAAATGTCAAAGATTAAAATAAACGAAAAAGACACTCAAAATCTGCTGAAGAGGAACAGCGTACAATTACCGCTATATTAAAACAATTTTGGAAATCTTTCACAAGCAGACTGAAAATGGCTTCTTCTAACAGATCGAACTGAGCACATAACCCAAGCAGAGGGCGGTTTTCACAACATCAGACGAAGGCCTAAGTCGGGGTGGCTACGGAAACTAAAACCGACTAATTTCAACAGGTTACTCTGTCACTGGAATTCCTAACACAACTAAAAGTGCGCCAATATAATGTGCGGTGTCTCGGAGATCCTAACCCCCATTTCGAGTGCATGTTTCCCCGTCTGCAAACTCACCTCCCACTTACAATACTACGACCCTGGGGTCGAGTTAGCCTCTAACAGAAATGAGTACCAGGAATCTTCCTGGGAGTAAAGCGGCCGGTGCATAAGGCTGACAACCTTGCCGCCATCTATGAGCCGACTGTCTAAAAAATGTGGGAGCCTCGACGTCTCACAACCCTATGGGCCTCCACGGCGTTACAGTGAGAGCTTTACCCTTATTTATATTGTGGCCTACAGGCTTGTCAATTTCTCTGCGACTCCGACCATCGCGGAAACAATTAACAGGAGAAAACGGCATCTCTTTCGCTGGAACATCCGAACGATCTGCGGCAGGCTCTCAAATAACTGCCCTGTACAATTACACAACACAATACTATCAAACTGTCCCGTTTCGGCGGCAGGTGACAGTTCCTTCAGCAGCCGTCCTTGGGCTCTCGCTCCAGTTGGTCTGCATTTCACCATAATTGGGCGACTCTCCCCCACTGTCACCGTGTGCTAATAACCTTGCAATACACAATCGGACAAACCTCACATTCTATGGGTACAATTATGGTTGTCATTCTGATAATCTTCTCGACAGCAGTTGCAGAAATCTGCAGTGAACTAAGAAAACGTCTATTTATTATTATTATATACAAAACTATAATTCTGCCTGTGGTTCTGTATGGTTGTGAAATCTGGTCTCTGACACTAAGGGAGGAAGAGAGACTGAGGGTGTTTGAGAACAGGGTGTTGAGGAGAATATTATTTGGACCAAAGAGGGGTGAAGTGACAGGAGGTTGGAGAAAAATGCATAATGAGGAGCTTCATAACTTGTACTCTTCTCCAAGTATAATTAGAATTATCAAGTCAAGGAGGGTGCCATTGGCAGGGCATGTAGCACGAATGGGAAGAGGAATGCATATGGGGTGTTGGTGGGAAAGCCGGAAGGAAGGAGACCGGTGGAAAGAATAAGAGGTAGAGGGTGGACAATATTAAAATGGATCTTAGATGGATAGGGGGGCACGCAGTAGCGTACTTTGTTGAGGCACTATGCTACAAGCCGAAACGTCGCGGGTTCAAGTCCCGATGGTATCACTGGATTTCTTCAATTGACCTAATCCTTCCAGCCGCACTATGGACACGGGGTCGCCTCAGCCTCTAACAGAAATGAGTAGCAAGAATATTCTTTGAATATTCTTGGGGGTAAAGAGCGGCCGGCGCGTAAGGCTGATAACCTTACCGTCATCTATGAGCCGACTGTCTAGAAAATGTGGGAACCTCAACATCTCACAACCCTATGGGCCTCCACGGCCTGTGACAGGGAGAGCTTTACTTTTACTTTTTTACTTTACTTAGATAGGTTGGGATGGTATGGATTTGATTCATCTGGCTCAGGATAGGGACCAGTGGAGGGCTCTTGTACACACGGTTATGAATCTTTGGGTTCCATAAAATTCTGGGAAGTTCTAGAGTAGCTGCACAACTGGCAGCTTCCTAAGAAGGGCTCAGCTGAGTGAGTGAGTATTTGTGGGGCGAGACTGGGCCCACCTGGTACTGAGGCCACTACTGGACCAGATGATAAATGATGGTCATTGTGGAGCAACTGGTGAACAAAGATTTGCAGGGGAAACCTAAGTACTCGGAAAGTACATACTCCAGCGCCACTTGTCCATCACAAACTCCACTTGACCAGGCCAAGGCTCAAACCCGGGCCGCCGAGGTGGGAAGCGAGCGACTAACCGCTTGAGCTATGGCGTGGCCCAAGAAAGCCTCTAACGTGTGCTTTATATGCATCTATCGTACATTATTCTCAAGTGACATTCCGACGACTGAATTTATTGTCAAAGACGAAGGCACCAAGCTTGACTGTAAACAACACAGCCTTATTTATTTCTAGGAATTACGGCACTCAAAACGCCAGTAAACAGGTAAATCGAAATGCATTTCACAAACGCCAGCATGGGAAGTTCAACCTCTGCAGTTTGCCGTTTGCTTATATATCTTGGTTTAATTTCACTCCTGGCACCTTCGTATTCAGCGACTGCAAACAAATTCTGATATCACATGAACGTGTCCTGCATGACGTTACATAAAATAAATATGGCCAGTTTTTTAACCTTGTTGACCGGTTTCACGGCTCTGCGCTTCACGGTGACCGGTGCGATGCTTGCCGCGAAGCACAAATGAATTTTAGCGGTGAATTAGCATGCCTGATGGACGACAACGTTTGTATTGAAGGAAAGTAATTAACTTGTGGACTGCTTGACGGCATTATGTTTCACGGCCGGCAGTGCCGTTCATGCGTGGGAGCATGCAGCAGTTATCGGTTCCATGAGCCATTTGTTCTCAGTTACAGTTAGTGCACAGTGCGGTGCGTCATGGTGCGGTATACTTCAGAGCAATGTGCATTCCTGTATGACACCTATGTGAAATACGGAACTGCTAGTGTCGGCGAAAATTTCGGCGTATTTTTTCGTGATGCAAGAGTTTCCAATAAACAAACAATTCACGATTGGATAAATAAACTTAGAACTGGGCTCTTAATAAACAAGAAACAAAAACAAACACGCCGAGTGTTTGCTGAGGATAAATTAAGATGACAAAGGGGGCCAGACTTGTACACCTACAAAATCACTGAAACGTCTAGCTCAAGAGACTGGAGTGTCAAAGTCCAGTGCAAGAAGGGCAACCCAATTGCTGAAGCTTAGACCCTATACTACACTAATCCACACCTTGTGCCGCGCGATCCAGCTAACATGGTCCATTTTTGTAGTTGCTCTCTACAGCCTGTCGTCGAAGGTGAAATCGATCCGTAATTGATATTCTTTTCCGATGAAGCGTGGTTTCACTTGCGGGATTACATAAATACGCAAAATAATCGCTACTGAGTTCACAGACTCCACATCTAACCCATGAAGTCTCGATCCATCCAGTGGAAGTTGGTGTCTGGCGTGCTGTAAGTGCAAGAATTGCTGGACCTGTGGTTTTTTAACAAAACAATTAATTGCGAAAGATATCTACGTGTAAAAGGACAGCATTTTCAACACCTCGCGTGGTCTGTGAACTGCAACTACTTCATTCCGAACGTTATCGGCCATCAGGCATGCTGAGTCATCGGCAAAATTCGTATGCGCCTCGCAGCCGGCGGTGCATCGGTCGCCGTGAAGCGCAGGACCGTTGATCCGGTCAATAAAGTAAAAATCCTCCCTGTATGTTCACACACATTTACATTCTACTCCGAAGAGAGAAAACCGAGCTACGTGTTGAAAAGCTCTTGTAAGACGCCTGAACATCCTCACCTCATAACACTACGAACTACGTAGGGAACAACTTCTCCATGGTAAAACCGCAATTTCTCTCCCCCGACAAAACAAGTTTCAACACGTATTATCTACAAAACCGCGACAAACATGAAAAGCTGCTCACCACGGCTGGATATGTTATCGCAATCTCTACTTTTCAGGACTCCCTGAAACCACACCCACGGTTCCGTTCAAACACCGTTACACAGAAGCAATTAAAAAAATATCAATTCTGCGCATAGCTCAGCAAGCAACAACTTTACAACAGGGTGACTATATATTTCAGCCCTTTTATGTATGCATCCATATGTCACCTACTACTACTAAACTTCTGCAACATTAACCAAATCAAACATGCCATAAACTGCAACTGACATTTGTTAAGGAATTCTGAAAATATGCTCAAGCAAGCGAGTTTTACCTTCTGTATTACATGTGTGTTTCGTCTGAAACACTGTGACAACAAACGAGATATTAAAACTGCTTACAGCATTGTGAACACACATACAATACTTCCTAAATATGATTATGAAAGAAATTCAGTGGTTAATTATGCCCTACGGCCCTCAGTAATGGCGGTACATGAAGAAAAGTCCATAATTTTCAACGCAAGAGAACAAAGCACACTCCTGTAAGAAAATCTACAAACATTCCGCATGGCAACAATGACAGCAACCGCCAAACACCGAACATCCGCTCTAACACATCATGCAACAGTTACTGCTGTGTGTGTCTGTACAGGAATAAAATACCCAACATCAGCAGTAAAAGAATATACGGTATGTCTAGAAATAATGCGTAAGAGAAACATGAGAAAAGAAAAAGCAATATTACAAGAATGGGTTTCTCATTAATTGTTTGTATAAGCAAAAATATTTTAATCTACTTGGATGATTGAAAGTTTTACATCAATCATTAATCTGTAGATAAAAAAAATAATTAAATTTATCCATTTCAATCTGCACACACTACCCCCCCCCCATGAATCACGTTTCAAACCTAGCTGGAGCTGCAACTACTACTACGATCATCATAACATTAATATTGTAACTCTACTCGACACCCAATAACGAATAATAGCGTCCACTTCATACTTCTTCTGACTGTACCCTGAACTGAAAACCACTCAACAAAATGGCTTCCCTCACTCCCCTCGATCGAACGTTCCTGCCCCCAACATGCGGGGAGGAGCGCGGAGCGGTGTGTTAGCCCGCATAGAGCGGCTGCCTTCCATAACCCCAGCCGAGTTGCATACAAATATGATAACGCAACCTCACGTACCCTCTGATATAAGCTTGAAGTACCGTGGGATGCTTCTTGAAGATGTCCTTTTTTCGTCTATTATTATAGACGAAACGTTCCTGTCTAGGTCTTCAAATTGTACCCGCACGCAGAAATCCGTGACTAGGAGAGACTGCAGAGGAATCCAAGCTTCGGGCGTAGTCAGTCATTACACATCCCAGAAGTTTAGTTTTGTCACTGCACTCGTACTGATTAGGAATGGTAACTTTCAATACTAAACAGCACAGCCAATAAACACGACAACGTAACTGCGATGGAACAGCATTCCATTGTGTCCGGCGGGTGTAACCCACACGTCAGCACAGAATACACTCAAAAATTAATTTGCTGACCCGACTTAAATCTTACTTTCAAACACTACTTTCCAAGCACATCACATCACTCAATTGTTAAAACATGTGGCATCACACCACCACTCTCCTTACGAGGCTTCACTAAACAAAGACGACAAAGCGACGCGGCAGGGTAAATGCGTGTTTCCAGAAATGGCCGCTTGAAACACCGAGACAGCAAGCGATACACCAAACATGTAACTCACCGGGTCTTTACATACAGAAACACACACAACACCTGAAACAAGGTACATAGAAACCTCAGGAACCGAGTATTACCTTCTTATTGGGCGAAGCAACTACTGGTGCTAAGTACAAAATGCTACGAATAATTGCAAAGCGAACAAACACCAACCTCCGTTTGCAAGATTCTTGGGGCTCCATTTACACCACGATATCCAATAAAAAGGAATGTCTATAAAAATGAAACACCACAGCTTCCCATTCAATGGCGGACACTGCACTTTCTCACTATGCCCGCCCGCTTCCCTGCTATACTCTCTATACACATGGCGCGGCCTCCGCTGCGCTCAGCTTGGTTATCATCGGCACGGCACGGTTCCATCATACCTCAGCCACGCGGAGAGCCAACGACCATTATGCACAATCCAGGGCCGGCCATATAACACTAGCATAGACTCGATTGAGCATTCGCCATCGTAGTTTAAGAACTCCATCGTATAAAAGTATAGTTGTGACGAAGTCTGCCTTTATCTGCCGGAGAAAATGACTAAAAAAACTCATTTCACCTTCAAGAGTAACATAAAATACTCGTTTTCTTATTTGCCGCTTCCCATTCCAATGAAATAAAAACACATACAAAAAGAAAGAAGGAATGGATTTCCGAATACAAAATACCGATTGCTTTGGGTACTTTGTTGAACCAAACTGGTGGCTGATTTTTCATGGTTAGTATAAAGCGATAAATTCTGCCGTACTTGAATGCGAATTGCTTCAGCAGTCTGAGAGAGGAGTTCACGATATTAATGTAGTCAGAGAAAGAAATGAACCCAATGAAACAAGAGGTTGTAGGCCACGCGTCATCATTCAAGAAGAAAGATATGAAACTGCCGAGATAAATTGTCTTAAAATAGCTGAATGAATTAATTCCCTATAAATGGAGAAAAGACTCTCAAGGCTTCTTTTTTTCCATTCCTTGACACCGGACTGTTCATAAACGTGTTATCTAACCGTTCCAACTAACTTGACGGCAAAATATATCCGTTTTCCTAATAATATCAAGAGTAGATATCTTAGCTAAGTGACTATATTCTAGCCAATTTGTTCTAAGTGAAAACTCAAACGCATATACGTGACCCAACTCACCGGACATTCCAGAAACCAGTTATCAAAATAAAAACCCTTAGCACAAAAACTGGCCCTCTACCAGCGTCATAATAACGTCAAATGGTTTCAATTTTAACCGAAGTACTTTGCTGAAATAGTCAGGACGAACAACGGGTTTTGACATCAAACGGAAACATAGTTCATATAAAAGAAACATTATTTTTCGTCATCGAAGCAAGTTCGTTGTGATTACTTGTTTCTTGCTTGTTGTAACAAGGCAGAAATTATTAAAACTGCGCTGACGTGAAAAGTTGGCAGGTAATTTGACAGGCTACACATTGCAATAGCGCGAACGGTAAACACTGCTTTTACTCAAATAATCTATTGAAGCCCAGGTATTCATTCCACCCCACCTCTTGGTTTCTTGGCAAGGTACGTTACAACTAGCAGCTCTCAAGCTCACAGTGGGGAGCAACCCCCCCCCCCCCANGGGGGGGGGGGGGGGGGAGCACGGTCCCTTAAGAGTCTAAAATAATTAAGGCGAAACAAGACAGCCGAGAATCACAAAACAATATTTTCATGGCGCGTTAGAGGTGGTACGCAACAAAACACATCCCCGTTTGTGATTTCTGTAATGAGAAATCGCTTCTAGAATAGAAGAATTGAAACCATGTGCTCGTCGGTAGAAGCAACAAACAGTAGTTACTGCGCGAGCTGTCTCGCTGAATGCTGAAATCTATGCTTTCCCATGAATACGAACTTACAGAAAACTCACCCGTTCAATGACGAGGGATACCTCATGCCAACTTGAGGAATACGTAACTCCCTAGCACAAGTGCTATAAGAACCTTCCATCTGCTACTGCATTGCCTATTTCTGAAGCTCAGGAGCCGGAACAGCTCAGTCGGTATAGCGACCTGCTACGGGCTGGACGACAGAGGGCTCGGAGTTCGAGTCAAGAATTTTCTCTCCTCCATGTCGTCCAGACCGGCTCTGAGGCCCACACAACTACCTATACAATGGGTACCGAGGGCTCTTTCCCCAGGGGTAAAGCGGCAGGGGCGTGAAGCTGGCCACTCACCTCCAACTAGTGCCGAGGTCAAAAAAATATGGATCTAAACATCCACGCCCCCATACGCCTTCATGTCGTAGTGCTTAATTAGTTAAGCACAGGGACAACTTTACCTTTGTATTTCTGACACTCGCAACGTCCTTGAATCTCTTGAAGAAAACGGTCTTTTTAAACTCAGATCCGAGGCGATTTCTCTGTCGATACGTGGCCTTATCAAATCGTCTCACCCTCTCCCGAAACATTGTTTCCAAAGATATTATTACACTACGTTATTGCATTATAATTATAATTATATTATTATTAGTGTTGTACTCATTTTGTTTCGCTGCACAATGGCTGGCATTGTCCAAGCAACCTTGGTTTGTCTCTATTTGTGTGTACGTGTTTGATTCCACCTTTGCTCGTGCTTATTGTACAACTGACAGTTGGACTACGGTGCAGGCACGTAAAATAAAGAATTACCTTGAATTAATATTACTGTATATTGATATACATAAAAATTGCATTATTACTTACTGCCATGTTTCATCTTACCCATAGATATTCTAATCATTAAAATAAAATTAGTATTCATTGTAAATGTTTACATTTTAATTTTCACGTTTCTTATAAAGCACAATAGACCACTGTAGGTCGCGGTGCAAGGGCCGAGGAGGCCTGCCCCTCTTACATTCATACATTGGTGATAACAGATTTGTGTAGATGGAATTATTATTATTATTATTATTATTATTATTAATAATTCTGTGAGTGATTCGTGCGCTGCTAATTCCGAAAATCGCGCGTCAGGTCGCACTCCAGGAAGACGGGTATCAGCTTTGTCACGCTTTCATTACACGCACCAGCAGTATTAAGGACCTAGGTATTTACTTTGTTCAAAGTTATATTCTCACAATCATGTTGATTTCCTATTTTACGAATGCATGAAGCTATTAGGCCTTATTCGCTACATAGCCTACAGATTTGCTTCTCTGGAATGTTTATACGTGCTATACTTTACGTTAGTCAGGACCAGGTTTGAATATGCCTCGGTAGTTTGGAATTCTGTCACGTCTACCAATGCCAACACGCTTGAGCGCATCCAGCTGAAGTTTGCGTCCCTCTGTTTCTATCGTTTTTCCCCTTCATGTTCCATGTAGTCATATTTTTGCCTTAGAGATTCTTTACATAAACGGAGACATCACCTTGATACTCCCCCCCCCAACCCGGTCTATCTTGGCTTTAAATCCTGCACTTCCCACTTGGAAACTGTTAAGTCTTCGTGTTTCTGCTCGCAGTGTTAGACTTCTTAAAGTGTTGTGTTTACCCCTGTAATAAACCCTATTCCTTCTGCTCGATGCCCCTATGATGCCAAAGTGGTGATAACTGGCTCCAGGGCTATCCAGTTGTGACGCAAATAAATAAGAACTTAATTTAATTATTATTATTCAAATTATAAAGTGCCCATTTTCTTTTTGCTTGTGTTTTGTATCTTTATCTTTATTCGTTCTCACTTTGTAATTGGCCTTCGGGCTGTTAAGTTAGCACGTAAATAAATAAGAACTGGATTTATTCATACTGGGGGCACGCGGTAGCGTAGTGGTTGAGGCACTATGCTACAAGTCGGAAGGTCGCGGGTTCAATTTCATTGGATTTTTTTCAATTGACCTAATCCTTCCGGCCGCTCTATGGCCCTGGGGTTCACTCAGCCTCTAACAGAAATGAGTACCAGGAATTAAATAAATAATTTTCGTGGGGAGTAAAGCGCGGCCGGCGCGTAAGGCTGACAACCTTACCGCCATCTATGAGCCGATTGTCTAGATAATGTGGGACCCTCAACGCCACACAACCCTATGGGTCTTCGCGGCCTGTTGCAGGGATAGCTTTACTTTTTATTTTGTTTAATCAAATTGAGCCATTATTTCTACTATTATTGTTGTGTTTATTTATTAGAACCTCACTCCGACGCCAGTGTAACACTAACAGGTACTGCAGTGTAAGGCCTAACGACAACTCTTGTTTACTTACTCATGGAGCTCAGCCCTTCTGGAGGAGCCGCCAATTCTGCACCTACTCTAGAATTTTCCAGCAATTTACGGAACCAGGAGCTTCATTACCGTGTTCACAAGAGGCCTCCACTGGTCCCTATCCTGAACCAGATCTATCCAATCCATCCCATACCATCATATCTCTGTAAGATCCATTCTAATATTGTTCACCCACCTACGCCTTGGTCGTACCTGTGGTCTCTTTCCTTCCAGCTTTCTCACCAATATCCAATATGCATTCCTCGTTTCCCCCATTCGTGCTACATGACCTGTCCACCTCATCCTCCTTGACTTGATCATTCTAATTATACTTGGAGAAGAGTACAAGTTATGAAGCTCCTCATTATGCAGTTTTCTCCAACTTCCTGTCACTTCATCCGTCTTCGGTCCAAATATTTTCCTCAAAACCCTATTCTCAAACACCCTCAGTCTATGTTCCTCCCGTAATGCCAGAGACAAAGTTTCACACCCATACAGAACCACAGGCAAAATTATAGTTTTGTATATTCTAATTTTTATGTTTTTGGACAACAGACGAGAAGACAAAAGTTTCTGGACTGAATGGTAGCAAACATTACCCGAGTTCAATCTCCTCTTAATTTCCTCCTGAATCAGGTTTCGATCTGTTATCATCGTTCCCAAATATCTGAACTGTTCCACATTTTCAAAACATCTGTTTCCTATCTTTATGTCATGATTTTGTCCTGCATTTTGGTGACGAGACAGCAACATATACTTAGTTTTCTCTGTGTTTACTTCTAGACCAACCTCTTTACTTGCGTCAAATAAAGTTTGTGTGTTTTTTATGGTATCTACATTATCACCCAGTAGATTCACATCATCGGCATAGGCCAACGGCTGATGTGTCCCGTTTAATTTCAGTCCAACCTGGTTTCCCTGGACATTCCTATTTGCATATTCTAAGGCAGAGTTGAAAAAAGTGACGACAACTCTTGCAGGGATCCAAATTGCTTTCTCCAGAACTGTCCTGCCGCTAGCCACGCAAACTCTTCCATCCGAGGAAAAGCGGTTTGCAGACCGCGGCGGGGAAGCTTAACTTCAGCAATGGAGGAAATAAGAGGATGCAGGAGCAGCATAATTAAACATCAACAACAACAGAACAGGAGGCGCAGAGCGCCTGCGCGGACAGTCCACCTGTGT